GGGCCGAGGACAGCCCGCCCCGGTCAGAGGGCCGTGACGGCTCGCCCCGAGCCGAGGGCTGAGGACAGCCCGCCCCGGGCAGAGGGTCGTGACGGCTTGCCCCGAGCCGAGGGCCGAGGACAGCCCACCCTGTTTCAGCTGTTTTTCAATGATCTTCAGCAGTATTTTGCTTGCATGTAATGATATCACTGATACTGTTCAATAATTTCCGCATTCAGTTGGGTCACCCTTCTTGGTAATGGGAACAGATATAGACCTCTTTCAATTTGTTGGCCAGACAGCCATCCTCCAAATTTTCTGGCATAGACTAGTGAGCACATCCAAGGCCACATCTGTTAACTGAAACAAGTCAATTGGTTTCCCAGTGATTCTGGAGGCCTTATTTTTTGCCATGTCTTCCATGCAGCTTCTACTTCCTTTTTCATAACTGTTGGCTCCTGTTCATAAATCTAAAGCAGATTTAAATAGTAATCATATGTAAATAACGTCATAGCGATATCTACTGTTCAACCAGACTAGGTTCCATAGCTTAACTAAACTGACGTAAAATTTACTATCAACCATTTTAAAAGGTTCATGGGTTTTTACTCTACTTATCTCTCTCACATTGCTGGTAAGTCTGAACCAACTCATAGCCGACCTTCCTTTGAGTTTCCAAAGCTCTGAATCACAGAGGAGATTACCCTCTTTCTCCTGGAGAGCTCCTGGTGTTCGGCTGCCACTTGGGTTAAGAGTGGTTAGTGCAACTCTGGACTAAGCTATCAGAGCTCCACTATTGTTTATTTACCACAATCCGTTTTAGAACATTTCAGCAGAAGGTCATTTGTTTTTGCTCTAAGGAAATTGTCCTTTGGGGTTCATGTGGTTTGAGAAATTACCCTGGTGATAATGATGATAGTAAGTGTTGAATTCTAATGGGCTGTTGAGGAAGGTTTTTGCTTATTGTCTTGAGTGATAGGGTTGGTTGTTGTTGGCCTTTGAGTTGATCTTGACTCATGGCAACCACACATGTTGAGTAGGCCTGTTCTGTAGAGCGCTCTTGGCTGTAATCTTGACAGAAGCAGATCACCAGTTCTTTTCTCCCATAGTACTGCCGAGTGATTTCAAACCACCAACTTGATGGCACATAAAAACGACAACAGCAACACCAACCTTTAGATGAGTTGTTGTTGGGTACCAGTGAGTCACGTATGACTCAAAGTGACCCTGTGAAAAATTGACCTAAACCCTGCCCCGTCTAGTGCCATCTTCATCATCTCTGACATACTAGAGGCCATTTTTTATATCACTGTGTTGATTCATCTCATTGGGGATCTTCCTCGCCTTCACTAACATCCCCACTCCATCTTTCCAAGCATGAAGTCTATTTCTAAGAAATCTAGTTACATGTTCAAAGTATGAAAGGCAAAACTAAGCCATCTTTACTTTCAAGGAGAACTCTGGATTTACGTTTTCCAAGATCTAACTGTTCTTTTGGCAAACCTTGGGATATTCAGTATTCTCCAGGCCAACTCAAAAGCATCAACTCTTCTGTCCTCCTTATTCATTGTCTGGCTCTCTGATGCATTGCAGGTGACTGAAAAGACCATGGCCTGAATTAGGGGCACCTTTACCTTCAAACTGACATCATTGCCTTTCATAAATTTGGAGAGATCCCTGACAGTGGACTTCTACAATGCAGTACACTCCTGATTACAATACACTGCTGGTACCGAGGGTGTCATTGATTAAAAAAAAATCATTGAAACATCAGTCTTTTCTCCAAAGGTGGGGTCCTGTGTTGACCTTTGTTTCCCTTAAGATGCAATCCATACTGAAGGCTGTAGTTCTTGATCTTCTGCAATAAGTGCTTTATATCCTCTTACTTTCAGCAAGCAAAGTTGTGTGATCTGCTTATTGCAGGTTGTTGAGTCATCCTTCACTTATGATGCCCCATTCTTCTTCCATATAATTTAGGTTGAAGTAGAAAACTAGGACACTTCTTGTTATGTGCTTTTGAATCTCCATGTCTCATAGTGACCCTATGAACAATGAATCTGAACTCTTTGCTATCCTGAGCCAGTCTCACCATCTCTGACACACCTGCCCCCATTGCCACAGTCACTGTGTCAATCTATGTAATCTAAAGTCTTCATTTCCTTCATCGACCCTCTGCTCTTCCAAGCATGATGATGTTCTCCAATGACTGATTCCTCCTGGCAACATGTCCAAATTATGTCAGACGTAGTTTCAATATCCTTGCCTCCAAGGAGCAGCCTGGTTTGTTCTCTTGCCAGTCCATGGGTTGTCTAATACACTTCCCCAGCATCACAAGTCAAAGGCATCAATTTTTCTATCATCCTTCAGTCAGTGTCCAGCTCTCAGATGAATAGCAAGCAATTGAGAAGACTATGGCCTGGATTAGGTGCACTTTAGTCTCTAGACTGACATTGTTGCTCTTTAGCCCTCTGGAGAGGGCCTGAACAGCAGTTTTCCCCCAGTGCAACTTGTCTTTTAATTTTCTTAGCGTTGTTTCCAAGAGTTTTCATTGTGGATCTGAGCAAGCTGTTATTGTCAGCAACCTCAATCTCTTTCTATATATTGATGCTGCCAAGTAGCCTGGTGGTGAGACTATTTATTTTCTTGATGTTGAGATGTAGTCCATATTGAAGACTGCATGCCTTGCCTTCTGCAGCAAATGCTCCTCAGTTTTGGTGAGCATCGTTGTGTTGTATGTATAACGTAGGTTGTTGATGAATTTTTCTTCAATCTTGCTGCTACATTGTTCTTAATAAAGTCCATACTCCCAAATGGGCTGTTTCTCATATATATTGAAAAGTTATGGAAAAAGGACATTTATGATGTACTACTTCTTTCTTGATTTTGAACCACACAGTATTTCCTTGCTCTGTTTGTATGACAGCTTCCTGGTCTAAGAATAGATTTCATATGAGTATAATCAAGTGTTCTGAGATTCTAATTCTTCTCAGTGTTAGCCACAATTTGTTGTAGTCCACACAGTCAGATGCCTTTGCATAATCAAGAAAACACTAACAGACATCCTTCTGTTATTCTCTGCTTTCAGCCAAGATACATCAGACAATTGAAATGATATTCCTAGTGCCATAGCCTCTTCTATACCCACCTTGTATTTGCAGCAGTTCCCGTCAATGTTATCTAGTAATTTTGGGGTAATCTTCAGAAAGATTGTATTTGTATGTGATACTGTTCAATAATTTCCACCCTCTGATCACCTTTTTTTTGGGGAATGTGAAATTAATTGCTTTCAGTCATTTGGCCAGGTTCTTCAAATTTCTTGACACAACCTGGAGAGCACATCCAGGGATGCATTTGTTTGTTCAAATATGCCAATTGGTATGTTATCAATTGGGGC